AGAGAGCTCATTCTTTTATGATTTTGTATTGCATCTTTTTCTCCAGTATATTATGACAAATATCTCTCCCTGTAAAAAGTAAGACATAGCAGATTCAGTGCTTCAGTTGGTACTGTTATAGCATGCATAAAGAAAAATACACTCTATCAAAATGATCACTTTATCAAAATTAAAAGTATTACTTTGATAATGGTGGATTAGGACCAACCTATTTTATATAATAGTTTATAACAAATATTTCTTACATCAGTAGTCTTAATTAACCCCTGGGGAGCAATTTGGTAAAGAATATTTTGAATTCTTAATGTAATCTTTATACTTGTTGGCTTATGTTGATTATTATAAATGTTTCCTAGTATCTCCTTGTTTTATTTAAACTTTTTAGTACCTTTTCGTAAGTGATTTTTCAGTGTGTGTGTAGGGGGGCGGGGGATACATTTCCAACTTCATTAATTGGGCCAGTAGTAAAAATATGATTTTGTTTCCACAATTGGCTTTTAAGCCAAACTACCAGCATCACATCTGTTCCATAAAGTTAGATACACCTAGAATGTGATAGTGCATAATTATTTCCTTATGTTGTTGTTGTTGTTATGTGCCGTTGAGTTGGACACGACTCATAGTGACCCTCCTTGGGTTTCCCAGGCAGTATCACTACAGAAGTAGATTGCCCTATCTTCCTTACGAGGAGTGGCTGGTGGGTTTGAACCGCCAGCCTTCTGGTTAACAGTCAAGTGCTTTAGGCACTACACTACCAGAGCTCCCTTATTTCCTTATAGAGTATTTAAAATCAATCACATTTTACAACTAATGGCCAACATTTACCGATCACTAACTAGGTACAGGCTCCATTATAAGTATTTTACATGTATTAGCCAGTTTAGCTTATAAATGTTTAAAATGAATGCATTTCTTCCCTTCTCTTTCCCTTTTTCCTTCCCCCTCTTCAAAAGCATCATCAGACACTTAAAGATATAGTCCAAGTCGGAAAAATTAGTAGCTTTTTAAAGATTATCTGCTTGATTCGTGAAGCTCTCCATTGATAACAGGAGACATAAGAGCAATAAGAGAAGGAGTAGAGACCTAATGAGTATCTGGAGGTAGAGATAGCAGATACCCTGGAAGGAGACAGATTTAACAGAATGAATGCCAGTCATAAGGGGAAATCTCAGGTGAATGGTGGGGCTTACTGCATTGAGCGGACCTTGGAGCTACTCAAAGAGATGGGCAGAGAGAGAGCACTGGTCTTCTTGGGTATCTAGTAAACTGCTTTGAGAACCTGAGCTGTAGAATTTAAAAAGACACAGCATGTGATATGTTGTTGTTATGAGCCATTGAGTCGGCCCTGACTCATTAGCAACCCTTCCTTGGGTTTCCAAGATGGTATCTCTACAGAAGTAGCTTGACCAGTCTTCCTTCCAAGGAGTGTCTGGTGGGTTTGAACCTCCTGCCTTCTGGTTAGCAGTCAGATGCTGTAGGCACTACACTACTAGAGCTCAGGAGGAGGAAAAGCAGAACTTGTAAACAAGGATGAAAGTGACTGGTTTGGACTTAGTGGATAGACAAGAAGCCTGGCCACAGATTTCTGAAGAATAAAACAGAAGAACATGTTTTAAACAAATAGCTTCAAGAACTTGGAGGAAAATCCTTACGAGGATAAGTATATGCCATTGAGAATAATGTTGTCTGTTTGCTTTGCATTTGTGCCCTTTATTATATTGAGGAATGTCCCTTCTATTCCTATTTTGCTGAGAGTTTTGATCAGGAATGGGTGTTGGATTTTATCGAATGCCTTTTTTGCATCAATTGATATGATCATGTGGTTCTTTTCCTTTGTTTCATTTATGTGGTGGATGACATAGATTGTTTTTCTAACATTAAACCATCCTTGTGTACCTGATATGAACCCTGCTTGGTCACAATGTATTATTTTTTTGTTATGTTGTTGGAGTCTTTTGGCTAGTATTTTGTTGAAGGTTTTTGCATCTATATTCATGAGAGATATTGGTCTGCGGTTTTTCTTTTTAGTGATGTCTTTGCCTGGTTTTGGTATCAAGGTTGTGCTTGCTTCATAAAATGAATTCGGAAGAATTCCATCCTTTTCTATGTTTTGGAATTGTTTGAGTAAGATTGATGTAAGTTCTTCTCTGAATGTTTGGTAGAATTCTCCAGTGACACTGTCTGGGCCAGGACTTTTTGTTGTTGTTGATTTTTTTATGACCTGTTCAATTTATCCTTTTGTTAGGGGTATGTTCAACTTTTCCACCTCAGTCTGTGTTAGTTTAGGTAAGTAGTGTGTTTCTAGAAATCTGTCCATTTCTTCTAGATTTTCAAATTTGTTGGAGTACAATTTTTCATAGTATCCTGATATTATCTTTTTTATTTCAGTTGGTTTTGTTGTGATGTCACCCATTTTATTTCTTATTAGTGTTATTTTTATTCTTGTCCTTTGTTAAATTTTCCAGTGTTTGTCAATTTTATTAATCTTTTCAAAAAACCAACTTCTAGATTGATTTTTTCAATTATTTTTCTGTTTCATTTGTTTCTGTTCTAATCTTTATTATTTCTTTTCTTCTGGTGACTATAGGCTTTTTTTGGCTGCTCTTTTTCTAATTGTTGGAGATGTTGGGTTAAGATGTTGGTTTTGGCTCTTCTTTTTTGATGTGTGCATTTATTGCTATAAATTAGCCTCTGATCACTGCTTTTGCTGTGTCCCAGAGATTTTGGTATGTTATGTTTTCATTCTCATTTGATTGAAGGAAATTTTAAATTTCATTTTTCATTTCTTCTATTACCCAGTTGTTCTTAAGGGGCTGTGCACTCAGTCTCCGTCAGAGCACACAGACTAGGATGGAATTCCTGCCAGTCCAGTAGGTGGGTGAAAACGAGGGATGGTTGCACCTCCATTCACCAAGAGGGTGTGCAGTATAAGAGTAACAAGGGAAATATCTCACCTCTCCAGGCCTTCGTGTCCAGTATGTCCTTGTGGTCCCTGGCAAGTGGAGCCTATCCTTAGGTCTCTGGAATCTGAGATAAGGCTGTTGCTTTAAAAGTCCAAAATGGTCAAACCCCTTGTTAACATTCAAAATGGTTGTGCCCTCCTGTCAGCTGAAAGTCCACAGCTTAAACCATCTTTTTTCTGCTTCCCCTTTTATTCACTAGTTACCAGTGCAGTCCTCTGTGCATGCAGCCCATGGCTAGCAGTGCCAATTTTTAGGTTAATTTTTAGGTTAATTCTTAGGTCCTAACACCACTTGGCAATGTTCAGGCTGTCTGTCCTGTCAGGACAGCTCTGTATATGTCCTTTTTCAGTGTTTTCATGCAGGTTCTTCTACTAGTTGGAGTTTAGTCTGGAGTATCCTTCCTCTCAGATCTCAGGGCTCCAGGATTACCTTCTGTATCTGTGTTATTTGGTTGCCATTTTCTTTGTTGAAGAGGTTCTGTGTAGTTTGTCTGCCTATTCCACCATCCTATCGGAACTCCCCGAAGTAGTACATATTTATATGGATTGTCCCATCTTCCTTCCATGGAGCAGCTGGTGGGTTTGAACTGTCAGCCTTCCAGTTAGCAGTCTATTCTCTTAGGTACTGTGCCACCAGAACTCCATATATATCTTTAAATGTAAATGGCTAAGGAAGAAGGAAAGGAGTTTTAGCTGTTTAAGATTATGTGGTTGGTTAAGTAGTAAAACACATTTAAAAATGTATGTGTTATTTTACTTACAAGTCCCATGCAAAGATTATCAGACATTAAGCATTGCATATTTGACTGCTGAGTGTAGTGATATGTATTTAAAAAAAAAAAACATTAGGCAGGTTTAATTATTAAAGTTCAGTTTTTCTTGGTGTGTAAACTGAAGTGAAATTTTAAAGCATTGATAGAATAATGGTCTTTGAAAACTTTGCTACTCATGATAGCACTTGAATCATGGAAGAGATATTGTTTTGCTTTGTTCAATGCTGTCGAGCCTCATTTTTTTGGCATAGGAGTATTTTATTATGTTGTGAACGTTTCTTTTATTTTGTAATAAGAAAAGCTATTTAAAATTTATTATATATTATATGCATAGATGCCCTTTATCATCACTCCTTTTTAATATCGTATTGAAAATATTTGTTAGATCAATAAGGCAAGAAAGGGAAATAAAAGGCATCCAAATTGGCAAAGACGAACTAAAATTTGCAGGTGATATGACTATATCCTTAGAAAATTTCCAAATTACCTGACTAATTGATAATTTCAACAAAGTCATAGGGTACAAGGACGAAAAAAACAGTTGTATGAGTAGAACCAACATTTTAGTTTTTATAATAGAATTCTTTAACATGTCTAAAAACTACTGGGATATGTCTGTTTTCTAAATCTTTTAAATTTAATGTTGTCATTCATTTCTTAACTTTGGCTGGTGTGATTCCACAGAGTAGTCAATGAGCACATTTTAGTAGTCTCCCCCCTCCTCGCCAATTTCAACAACTTAAAAATACTATCTGAAAATTTCTAAGGGTTTATATTCTTATGAGAATGCTATGTTGCCTGTTTATTCTTAGATCATTAGGTAAATTTTTAATGCATATTCTTCCTTATTTAAGAATGATACAATATACATAGCAATATTAAATTTTTCTATTTATATGAAGGCCAAAGACATAGCAGTAGTTTGCAAAAAAGTAGGTCTTGAGTTTCTTTTAATGTGATCATTGTATGCATTTATAAATTATGTTTCTCATACCTATGTACTTTTTAAGATAATATGATGCAATGTTTCAGCCATTTAGTTTCAACCATTATTGAATAGTTGCAACTAAAAAAATATGCAAATTTCTGTGCCTGGTAGAAACAAAGTAAATCTGGGACATGGTCAATATTTATTTTTCATATATTTTATATAACTGGGAAATGTTCCTAAAATTGCATTTCAGTATATGATTTTTTCTTCTTCTATCTTAAATGTATATTGTCTTTAAGTGTTTGAGACTTATTTATTACTATCATTTAAACAGGTGTCTCAATGCTTGTACCTACTGCAAAACTAAACACGCCAGAGGAAATTTGGCCAGTTATCCAATTGATGAACTAGTAGATAGAGCCAAACAGTCTTTTCAAGGTAAGAGTTTCTAGAATTACTTGCAAAATTAGTCTTTTCAATAACTTATATTAGTCATCTAATAACATCTCATCTTATACATGTACTTTAGCTTTCTGGAGAGTTTGCAGATATTTCAGCTTATCTAATAGAAGATGGTACCAGATTTAGTCGGTCAGGTCCTGGTACTACTCTACCAAGAATTGTACTGGTAAAGAGGCATAATGAGAATATTCTTTGTATAGGGTAGCCAGCTACTCCTGAAACAGTCACTTAGTGGGATATTTGATTGTCTCTCAGCATATAATAACATGACTCATGTCTTTAATGTTACCATACTTCCATTGTCACATAACTGCTTAAACTCTAAACTTCCATTTTTGTCTTTGTTTATAATATGTATATATAACATGGGTGTGTTTGAACTTGAGAAAATCTATTGTGTCGTAAAATTGTAGGATAATATTTATTGGCATTGGACTTTTCCTTTTAGCAAGTAAACTGGAGTGCTAATTTGGGTGCTGTATACGCTGAATCTCAGGATGCATGAGATCCAAATACATTTGTTTAGTAAATCTAAGACGTTGGTCAACAAGAATTTGGGATGTTCCTTTCAATAGAAACATGCCTTTAACTGATTTATTGATACTTCCCAACATTTTTTTCTATTTTTTAAATTCTCAGTTCAGTCCCCTCCTCCATTCACATTTAATTAGTATTGAAAGGGAAATAAAAAGAAGCCCATTGACTCTTGCCAGTATTGTGTTTTAGAGGCAGATTACCTGTGAACCTTTAGTTATGAACTATTGGTTTATAGACAACTCATACTTGCCCTTTAAGCAGGGCTTCAAACCAATTTGAGCCAGTTCTGGTATAGCCAACAAAGCAAAACAGGAACAGACCTAAATTTTTACAATTTGGGTAATGTCACAGGAACTGCAACGGGAGAAATTACAGGCCAAAGCCCTGGAATGGGAAACTCAGAAAAGGTGTAGTTAGCCCTTTCAAGGGCCTAATGAGTTAGATTGGATTATTGGCAGGATTGTGGAGAGCCACACACATTCAAAGCGGTGCACTCAGCTGGCATCTTTGAGAGGGGTGCTGCCATCTTTGAGCTTCCTCAACCATGACTGAACTGGGAAGAACTAGTTTGAAGTCCTGCTTTGAAATGATTGACCCAGCCCCTCCTTACAACAAATTCTTCATCACAATCACCTTCACTTCCTGCATGCACTACTTTTAAATCATTGAGAAGACTTGAGCCTTTTCTTGCACTAAAAAAACCAACCCAAACTCACTGCCATTGAGTCAATTCTGACTTATAGCAACCCCCATTGGGTCTCCAAGGCTATAAATCTTTAAGGAAGCAAACTGCCCTAACTTTATTCTGCAGAGCTGCTGCTGGGTCCAAATCACCAACCTTTTGGTTAGCAGCCAAATGCCTTAACCACTACACCACTAGAATAAGGCTAAATAAAAACCATATGCATATGTTCTGACTTTCCTATAAATTCTTAAGGACATATGAACAGACCTTGTTTGTACTCTGGAGACTGCTTGTGTTGCTAATTTGAGAAAAACGTGGGGAGTTATCTTTTGTATAATATGACTACTTTAAGAACGTTTGAGAAGCAAAAATCTTGGATAGAAACCTTATCTATTTGAAAATGTTAATGGCAAAATTGGTCTCCCCCGTCCCCAATAATGAGGATACGAAATCTATCTGACCTATCTACCAAAACATTGCAAATTATGAAAAGGCAATGAATTAGTTCTTCTAAGGTACTTTTTCAACATTATACATTTCTAACTACAGCTACATTATAACTTCTAAAAACTTATATTTCATTTTATTTTGAAAATTTATTTGGATAATATACAAATATAAAAATCACCAGGTAGGAAGTTAAAGTATTTTTCTTATTCCCTCATATCTATCCTCATCCGTAACTTACACTGACTTTTTTTTTTTAAACTTTTTATTGTGATTTGGGTGGAAGTTTACAGAGCAAATCAGGTTTCCATTCAATAATTCTTACACATTTGTTTCACGTCATTGATTACAATCCCCTCAGTGTAACATCATTCATCTCACTTTGTCTCTGAGTTTCTCATTTCCATTCCTCCTTTCCTAACCCTTCCTGCTTTCTAAACTTTGTCCTTGGGCAGATGCTGCCCTTTCAATCTCTATAGTTGATTGTTCCAAGGAGTGCATACCTCCCTACTGTTATTGTTCAGCCAGAAGGCAGCTTGGGACAAGGTGTCTGGTTCTGGACAAAGTTCCTGTCAGTCTAGAAGGTGGGTGGGGATGAGGGATGATTGTACCTCTGGTCACTGGGAGGGTGTGGGCAATAAGGGGAAGATCACACACACCATTCTGTTCACTGGCTGCCAGTGTGGATGCCTTTGCAGTCCTGGGCTGATGGAGCTATTATCTTGTTGCTGCCCCAGTTGAACGCTGCTTACAAAAAATTCAAAATGGCTACACTGTGTGTCAGGCTCATTGACAATTCACTGCTCCTTTTTCACTGTTTTTGCTCAGTTTCTTCTTTGATTTGGTATTTGATCCACTTCTTTATCTTTGCCTTTGAAGCTCAAGGCTCCAGGTTATCATCTGTATCTGTTTCATTTGCTTTTCTGTGTCCTTGTTATAGAGGGTCTGGGTAGCTTGTCTGTCTAGTCTGCAATCTTGCTGAAGTCCCTTATGCTAACAATTGAATATGATTCCTTCTTCACTTTATATGGACACCTTTATGTATTATATGTGACTTGAGGGAAAAAAAATAATGGATATTTTCTGCAAAAAACCTCACCCACATATATAAACATGGCACGCTTATGAAAGTAATGCACAGTGAAGGTGGGGTAGGGTTGTGTGGTTGGCAAAATAGTATAATGTGCATATTATTTGCATAAAAACACAGTAATCTTTATACATTGATAACAAAATTTTTCTAAAGTTACCCTACTTAGCTCTCCAATTTATTTTTGGAAATGTTCCCCTAAGGAACACAGGTACAATATATTGCTTCTGTGGATTTAAGTTATTACTTAACATTGTCATATCAGTCTTAGAGGAAGATAGCCAGAGTGCTCCTTAACCAAAAAACCAAACTCACTGGCATCGAATCAGATCTGACTCATAGTGACCCCTTGTTGGGTTTCCGAGGTAGTATCACTACGGAAGTAGATTGCCCAGTCTTCCTTCTGAGGAGTGGCTCATAGGTTGAACCACCAGCCTTCTGGTTAGCAGTCGAATGCCTTAGGCACTATGCCACCAGAGCTCCTAGAGTGCTCCTTACGGGTAAGTAAGGTGAGACTTTGTTTTGCTTACTTAGGGCACATTATCAGGAAAGACTAATTGCTAGAAAAGGACATGATGTTTGGTAAAGTAGAGGGCCAGCAAAAACAAGGGAAGCCCTCCATGAAATTGACTGACACAATAGGTGAAACAGTGGGCTCAAACATACTATAACAATTATGAAGATAGTGTAGGACCAGGCAATGTTTTATCCTATTAAACATAAAGTCACCATACATTGAAGCTGACTGGACAGCAACTAATAACAACCGCTTTATCACATCCAGGTGAGTTGGACTGGTTAAAGTGAGAAATCGGAGGTTAGCAGGGATTTAGTGGCTATTTATAGAGGCTATGTTACATTTATTTAGTATTCCTGTCATCATCAGTAGCAAAATATGTCTTTTATTTCCCAATCATGAAATGTTTGCAATGTAAACTTTTTTTATTGCTTTGTTATCTGTATATTAAAGTCACAACTGAATGCTAGTTTCTGGACTGGTAAGCTTTGTCTTATGAAGAGTTTCCCTTGTTTTCACTGACCCTCCACTTTACCCAACGTAATGTCCTTTTCTAGTGATTGGTCTTTCTTGATGACATGTCCAAAGCAAGCAAGACAACGTTTTACCATTCTTGGTTCTAAAGAGCATTCTGGCTGTACTCATTTGGTTGATATGTGGTGCTGCTTCAAAAAGATTGAGGTCACAGTTTGCTACGGCAGCCAATATGTTTAGAAAATTTTAAATTGTCAAGTACTGTTCTTTGCTATAAGCAGAGTTTGGATTTGAAATACTGCTTTATTGCTTACCAGCCACATGACCTGAACAAGGTACCTGACCTCTCTAAGCCGTGGTTTTCCTATTACTACAACATATTTAAGGTTGTTTGTTGTAAGGCTTAGAGATAACATTTGTGAAGTAATTGGTTGTGACATATTATTTAAACTAAAAAAATTTAAATGAAGGGAGGAAGAGAAATCTGATTCTGGGTGAATAGCCATGATAGAGATGTTAATGACTACAATCAAATAATACAGTTTTTTCTTCAAAAATATGTTTTATGAAAAATTTGTAGATAGAAACTATGTAGCATGACAGTTATCTCTCATTTCCTAAATTTGAGAAACGCAAATTAATACTAAGAATGGCCTTATTAACCCTTCTCCACTATAGAAAACACCAGTCTATAAGATCACTTTTAACAGTGAGTTAGCATGATCTTTTTTCTGGGATTTTAATGGTTAATGGAATTCCTACATTTGAGCTGCAAGATTGCAAAGAATAAAGTAAATACAGTAGAAGAAGTAACTCATATTCTTATCTGTGACTTCTGCATATTTAGCTTTCTTTAATTATAATTATTTCCTTTATAATTCAGGTGTTAGGAATACTTTTGGGGCCATAAACTCTTAAAATTTGCCTTATACCATGATTAGATGGCCTGCCTTGTAATAAATAAAAAACATGATGATTCTCTGAAAATTACTCTAAGAGAATAGTTTAAATATGCTGCCAATAAATTTTAGGACTATGTTTAAAGCCACTTTGTCAGTAGAAATTAAATGTCCCATTCTTAAAATGGCACTTCTTTCCTTTTCTTAATTTTTTAATGGCTACTGTTTTTCAGGAATACAGAATAATTTGAAAAAGAAAAAAAAACTTAAGCTGATTGCACAGTGGAGATTAGAATTTAGGTTGCCTGTCATATGGTAGAATATACA